GTTAGGTTTGTACTGATTAATATTTGCCTGTGAGTGTGAGCATATGTCAGGAAGAATTAAGACCATTTAGACATTTCCAACATTGTTGCCATTTGTGAAGTTTTGAACTAACTGTTTTGTACAATTAAATGTTAATCAGAACTATCTATGAATTTGTGATTATTTTACAAATGATGTTCTCGTATAAATTTTAACATGATTGGCATCTTCGAGCATCAAGTGTTTTATATCAATGTTGCAGAAATTAAAGAATATTTATGACAAAATAAACTGTGACAAGAACGCATCCCAGAAATGTCTCTAATCATATCATAAAAAGTAGATTTCTACGATTTCGTCTGTAAATGACTTATGTATTCCAGTGGGAACAAGTGCACATATTAAGGAGATGTCTTAGGTTTATTGTCAATCTCAAACATGCAACTGTGGTCAAGGAATAGTAAATACAGATAACTTAAATTAATCCTTAGAAGTGCAAAGTTTCACAGTCATTATAAACAATCATATTTCGTGACTAAAATGTGCTTATAAGCAAAATTCTTATGACATTGTTACATAATTTGAAGAACCTGTGACACAGACATGTAGATAAATATTTAGATTTAAATAAGGAATATTATGAGTACATGTATAGTGTCTTGAAGGAAAGCAAAGTAACAGAAATTATATATAAAGCCCAGGGAGCTGACAAAATAATAATAAAACTTCAAATTTTAATGACAGGCAAATAAAAATGGGTATGTATTGAAAATATATAAATGCATGGTAATTTATAAATCTGATATAAATAAATGTTAATTGCTACAAAGCATCTTTGTAAATATACAATAAACATGTTTTTACTTCACACAAATTACGTATGTTATATTTAAAATTTCACACACTATAGGTGGTCACAATATATAGTGTCAAATACTGGCAGTTAGTTTTTTTGTAAAGAAAATACTGTCTTTACTTGGTCTGTAATAAGGAATGCAGCTTCCCAAACATAGTAAATTACTTCTCTTATTAAAATAAAACGTATTCAGTTAGAATTTTATAGATATCAATAAATGTATGTGATTTAATATATCACTTCAGGATGAGCATAATTAATAAGGAATTTATAAATGAGGATAAATAAATCCTTCGATGCTATTTAAATAAAATAATTTATTTATTTCAGGATTTCCTCTCTGTATAGATTTTGGATTGTAAACATTTGGGATGAAAGTTTCTTGTGAGTATTTTACTTGAATACAATGAAAAACGAAATCGATTACAGTTTCAATGAGATCCTGCAAACAAAATAAATGTTTGAACTAAAGAAATAACCAAAAGTACTGTAAACATGCTTAAATAAATATTCATTCTTTTGAAGCAACATTATCAAATGATGGTTTAGTCTTTCATTTGTTATGCAGCCATGTAGCGTTTGGTTTGAATCAAAGGATAACTTTTACGCCAGAAACCATTAAGTGACAGTAACACTCACGAATAATGGTTTTTATTTCATTTATAGCACAATGACGAAGCGAACACTCGGTTAACATTTCCTACATGATATGTACCACAAATAAAATATAACAATGTAAATGACTTTAAGTTAACATAAAATTTCCCATTCGCAGCATTTATCTTAGATATTCAAAATCTTTTAAACGTATTTATGTAAATATCTCGCTTGTTATAATAAGTATTTCAAATCAAACAATGGATACAATTACGATTTGCTTTATGATGTTAAAATGAAGCAACTTTAAATTCTTCTAAAGATATCAACACATGCAACTCCCCTTGCTATTAACTGTTTAGACCTCAATTCCTAGACATGTTGCAAAAGGTTTGTCATAAAAGTAGAATAGAGTACATGCATATAAAAATAAATTAATAAATCCATAAATGTATGTTGCATTTTATGTGTTAAAATATTAATTGTTCAATAAATAACTTCCCAATCATTTTCATTATTTTGATTTAACATCTTTTTTATTTTAACATTATCGCATGTTTTAAATTGTCATATTTGCATTATTGATGTTCTTTTTGTTGCATATCGTTCCGGTGAAACATCATGTGGTACTTAAAAACTGGATTTTTTTTAAAGAAAGGACCAACTTTACTTGATATTTGATAGGGAACATGGCTTCCCATACATGGTTCAATCATTCTTTCATTCAAATGAGACATATTGAATGACAATTTTATAGATTATGTGATTAAAATATTGTACTCAAAGGATGAGCATTGTATATATTCAACTTGCAAATCAAAGACAAAGTAAATATACAATTGTCCAAAAACACGGGAGATTTATGTATGCCTTATAATGTAGTCATTTTACTTTTTTGCATCAAGATATTTTAATAATAAAGTGTTCTTTAGATGTATTATATGACATTAAATATTTTGAACAAATAAATGAGAACAAAGATCGGCATGACAAGTTAAAGTTTGCTTGTGTTATTTAATTTTTTTATGACAGAACCGTAATCAACATTATTCCTCAATAAATATTATGCAAAACAATCCTTTATTGAGACGATTTGCGCAGAAAACGAATCTAATCTATTAAATGATGTTATATTTATGTAAATGTCATTTCAGTAACAATCACAACAAGAAATAAATTGTTGAAATATGTAGCATTTAAAATATGTTCAGTTACATACTTTACAGTCTTTTACAGTGTGGCTTTTTGCAACAATATATTAATTTCTTCTAATAAACAGTCTGCTTTAATGTAGATTAAGTGAATATGCCATTCTTAGAAATAAGAAAAACAATCATGTAAAAAATCTTGGTAAATAGCTGTGCTAATCAAGATACAGTATCTTTCATTGCTTAGGAAGATCAAGGATAAAACATCTACACTCACTGTGTGATCTGGTACAATGGACTATATAGTAAACTCGACATTTGTTCGATTGCATTATTAAGATGTTTTAGCTTAAGCGTATAAATGTAAGGGAAAAAATAAATAAAAACAACAAAGTTAACTATGTGTTTAAAAAGTCAAGCAGGTTTGAAATAAAATGATTTCTTAACACTCAATTAAAAAAATGTAAAATTATTTACACATTTTGAATTCGAAAGAAAAAGTGTCCGAAGAATGTTATTAATTTATAATAAAAATGCATTTCCAAAGTATTTTCTGCAATTCTAGCAAAGCACTTAATGTATTGAATTAGTATCTGTTCAGTTATTCACATTTTCTCCATTTACAAGTACATAAGGCATGTTTCACTTATTTTCATAAAATTGGTGGTTAAAGAGAAGTTGTCGATAAGTTCCAATACATATTTTCATTGTATTATTATTTTTTCCATTCTTTTGTTTGAGGACTGAATATTACCATTGTCATATTCTGATGTTATATAACACGGTAGGGAATCACGTGACTTTTACGGTTACGCGTACAGACAATATGGCGGCCTAAAAACCTCGCTTCACATGTGTTTTTCAGGTAATTCTTTATTATATCCCTTTTACTTGCATACGAGACCTGTTGCAGCCTACGCGGAATAAAGAATTGTTGCCGCCTATACCTTATTTTCCACCCCTGTGCTCATAGCTTTTACAAACACTCAAAAATTCAACAGGAATTTTCAATGTTAACAATTATTTTTCAGGTAACTTTCACGCAATCTTTGTATTTTTTATTAATTTGATTAAAGCACGCCGAGTTAGCAAAGAGAAAATGTTCATAGAATTTCTTTATTTGAAAATGTAAATATTAGGCATGTTAAATGTTGACTGGTCATTTTCAATTCCAATACACGAGGGAAAAATGATTTGGGTAACGGCCACGCAAACTTTTATTGTTGATAACTCCCACGCAATATTTTATGCGCAAGCAATATCTATGCAAGCTATAGCCTTGATATTGATTTAACAAAATCATGATCGACGTATTTAGCCTTAAACGTTCATAGAATTTTGAATAATATTTAAAATACCGCCAAAAGGTCCTGGATAGAATTAAGCGCCTATGGGTAGCAGAATACATACTCACGTAAATATATTAAATGAAGTTTCGATATAAAGATATAGATGAATTAATCGCAGAAATTGAAAAACAAGTCTCAAATATAGGAAGGAGGTCGATTCAGTTTAAGCACAATTACAGTTGTCATTTTTCATAGTTTGCAGATATGGACGGTTGCAGCTCGGATATTGTTTGTGGATAATGTTGGAAAACATTTCGTTCATGGACAGGTCTTAATGACCATTTAAACTGGCTACTCGGCACAGGACCTTGTAAACGTTGTTGCAAATCGAACTGTCACAGGTATGGCATTTTACTGTTAATATTAAGATTTTAAAGACATTCAAATCATTTTATCACTTAGCCTCTTATGTAACCAATTATTTTTAAAATTAGTGTCTGTATTTAACATAATTATGTTTTTTTTTAATTCTACAGCAAAAAAAACAACAAAAAACAAAAAAAAACCAAACAACAAGAGGGCCATGATGGCCCTGAGTCGCTCATCAGAAACAACTGCTTTTCAGTGTTGGATTGTCAATATATTCTAATATTAAATTTGAGCATAGAATATGTTTAAACAATGATTTTAAGAAATGCCATGACCTGGGGCATTTAAGCTTTAGCTTAAACGGGACCAATCAAATTAATATGAGCAAACTTGATAAAAGACTACCAAAGAATGCTACAGACAAAGTTTGGTGATCATCAATCAATTAGTTCTCTACAAATAGACATTTAACGGTATTTCTATTTTTAGCTTTAGTGGCCCCTAAAAGGGGCTAATCAGATTAATATAAAAGAGTACCCAAGAATGCTACAGACAAAGTTTGGTGATCATCCATCAATTGGTTCTGAAGTAGAAGATATTTTTAGCTATCGCGGCCCCTAAAAGGGGCCAATCAAATTAATGTGAGCAAACTTGATAAAAGATTACCCAAAAATGCTACAGACAAAGTTTGGTGATCATCCATTCATTAGTTCTACAGGAGAAGCTGTTAAAAACATATTTCTACTTTTAATTTTAGTGGCCCCTAAAATAGGCTAATCAAATTCACATGACCAAACTTGATAAAAGACTACCCAAGAATGCTACCGACAAAGTTTGGTGATCATCCATCAATTATTTCTGTAGAAGAAGATGTTTAAAGGTTTTTCTATTTTTAGCCCTAGAGATGCCTAAAAGGGGCCAATCAAATTAATATGAGCAAACTTGATAAAAGACTTCCCAAGAATGCTACTGACAAAGTTTGGTGATCATCCATCGATTAGTTCTGTACAAGAAGATGTTTAAAGGTTTTTCTATTTTTAGAAGACGATTGTTGACGCATGATGACGGACGATCGACGCCGGAGCATCCCCCTTTGATACTAATAGCTCACCCTGAGCCTTCGGCTCTGGTGAGCTAATAAAAACAACCCTAAAGCATATTAGAATGGGTCTTTTTTACAAACTAGGTAATAAAATCTAGAGGACTTATGTTTGATTGTTATTTTAATACTAACAGTAAAACCCGTAACGTTTCCGATTTGCTGAGCTATAAAATGTTTTACCACAAAAGTTATAAGGTCCTGTGCCGATGTGGTCATTCCGTGAATGAAATGTTTCCCACATTTATCACAATCAATATCCGAGCTGGAAACTTTCATATCTGCAAAATATGAAAAATGTCAACTGTAATTATACTAAAAAAAGAAATACAAAACCTCCTTCTAATATTTGATACTTTTGTATTAAAACGCGACCTAATTGAATGATTTGGGTTTGGTAGGCCTTACGCGAAGTTATTGATGTCCTTGGCAATTTGTGATTTTACAGGTCATGCCTTTTTGAAATTTATTTATCGTATTATTGTAACCTATAAGCAGATGAAGTGTTGTTCGGCCCATATCAAGAACGTCCCAAGACGATTCGTCAATCTAGCTGTATTTATATCTTAGTGATAGTAAAAATAAGCGTGAATTAGTTTAAAAAAATCATTATATTCATTGCATTATCGACACAAATATTGATTAAACTGTTCTTTAATGTTAAATTTTAAGCTTAATTGTCGTGAATTTATAGGTAATAATAAATCTATTTTTATATTCTAGATCCTGGTCCTGGCTGAAATTGAGAGTATTGCAGCTGTAGTTTGTATACCATACATTTCACATGAAAAGGACTGTTAGGTTTGTTGAATTATAATTCTAATATTTAATATATATATATATATATATACTTCTTAACAAAGTATTAAAATTGCAACTACTGGACATTTATCTTGTCTTAATAATACATGTATATTATTTTTAGAATACTTGTGTAACATTATTAATATAAAATTTACATATTTGTTGTTTTCAGGATGCTGCATACAATGGTCTTAGCTAGAGCCTAGAATGAATATTTCTTAGGAATATGCTGCAAGTAACTGAAGGGGAGCAGTTTTTCTTACCTATCATAGGTGAGACTTCTAAATAGCTTCTTTTAAAAAAGTTTTTGCTGTTTTATGTACATAATTTGCTGTCAATATGAAACTTCAGCTGTATCTTAATTTCTATGCTGTTTTATTATGTAAATCTTAGAGATAATCATTTTAAGATAAAACATATCACTAAGTTGATTAATTATATATATATTTAAGATTGACCAAGTCACTTTTAATAAGTAACTTCTTATTTTATTTGCAGAAGCAGTAAGAGACAGCCAACGAAGTATTCAAACACCATATGAAACACTTAAGACATACCAGGAGAGATCTAGAAGAAGTACTAGTAGTAGAGTGGAACAGATTGTAGCTTAATTCTAGCTAAAAGGACTTCTTAAATCGTTAAAATTAAAGCTGCACTTAAACTGTCTTTTTTTGTTAAACAGTTATACTCTGTTACTTTGCTTTATATTAAAATTGAAGTATGTTGAAATGACATTGAAACTTTAACGTTGTGCCAACGTTGAATTTCAACGTTGTTTAAACTTTCAAATCCGAACATAAATCCAACGTTATTTCAACGTTAAAATCTGACCATAATTCAACGTTGTTCAACGTTTATGTGCCTGCTGGTTTAATTCTATCCAGGACCTATTGGCGGTATTTTAAATATTATTCAAAATTATTTGAAAGTCTGAGGCTAAATGCATCAATCATGATTTGTTAAATCAATATCTAGGCTAAAACCTGCATAGATATTGCTTGCACATAAAATATTGCGTGGGAGTTATCAACAATAAAAGTTTGCGTGGCCGTTACCCAAATCATTTTTCTCTTGTGTGTTGGAATAGAAAATGACCAGTCAACATTTAACATGCCTAATATTTACATTTTCAAATAAAGAACTTCTATGAACATTTTCTCTTTGCTAACTCTACGTAGTTTAATCAAATTCATAAAAAATACAAAGATTGCGTGAATGTTACCCGAAAAATAATTGTCAACATTGAAAATTCCTGTTGAATTTTTGAGTGTTTGTAAAAGCTATGAGCACAGGGGTGGAAAATAAGGTATAGGCGGCAACAATTCTTTATTCCGCGTAGGCTGCAACAGGTCTCGTATGTAAGTAAAAGGGATATAATAAAGAATTACCTGAAAAACACATGTGAAGCGAGGTTTTTAGGCCGCCATATTGTCTGTACGCGTAACCGTAAAAGTCACGTGATTCCCTACCGTGTATAAATGTTAAATCTATTTATAACAATAATTTCTATTCTGCCAGTATGTATATATAAAACTATAGCATACGCCTTTAGTATAACAAAATATAATATAATCCCAACATTATCTTTCAAATGTTTGCACAAATTCAAACATTAACAGTTTTTAAGAATTGTATATGTATAATATAACATGAAAGGAATCGAGGGTTTTTTTTAATGCTGTAGACAGGATGTCGACGAAGAACTGTTATGCGACAAATTATTTGAATGTTATTATCCTTATTATGTATCTCGAACAAGACGACTATATGTCTAACGCAGATGTACAATTATTGTAAAGAATTATTACACTTAATCTCTTACAGCAGGCACTTTCTCAATTTTAGGTCAGATATGAACACATTACGATGCAAAATTAGCTTTATGTTCCCATTGTTTTCTATAATATATGTCCTTACTAAAATAATCTTAAAGTGGATAAATTTTCCTCTTACAGTTTTACCGTTGACTTTTTGTGTTAAATTATTACGAGATGTTCATTTAGCATTTATTTGTATTTTTAGCTCACCTGTCACAAAGTGACAGGGTGAGCTTTTGTGATCGCTTTTCGTCCGGCGTCCGTCCGTCGTCCGGCGTCCGTCCGTAAACTTTTACTTTTAAATGACATCTCCTCATAAACCACTAAGCCAATTTCATCCAAACTTCACAGGAATGTTCCTTTGGTGGTCACCTTTAAAAAATGTTCAAAGAATTTAATTCTATGCAGAACTCTGGTTGCCATGGCAACCGAAAGAAAAAACTTTAAATATCTTCTTTTAAAAAACTTAAAGAGCTAGAGTTTAGATATTTGGCATGAGAGTGTCTACCAACTTTGTTCAAAAGTCCTTGGGTCAAAATTGGTCCCGCCCAAGGGGGTCATTGACTTTCCCTATATGCATATAGTAAAAACTTAAAAATCTTCTTTTAAAGAACCCAAAGAGCTAGAGCTAAGATATTTAGCATGAAACAGGTTCTAATGGGTGTCTACCAAGTTTGTTCAAATAAAAGTCCTTGGGTCAAAATTGGACACGCCCCGGTCATTGATTTTCCTTATATGTGTATAGCAAAAACTTAAAAATCTTCTTTGAAAAAACCCAAAGAGCTAAAGTTTAGATATTAAGCATGAAACATCTTCTAGTGAGTGTCTACAAAGTTTGTTCAAATAAAAGCCCTGGGGTCAAAATTGGCCCCGCCCCGGGGGTCATTGATTTTTCTTACATGTGTATAGCAAAAACTTAAAAATCTTCTTTGAAAAAACCCATATAGCTAGAGATTAGATATTAAGCATAAAACATCTTCTAGTGAGTGTCTACAAAGTTTGTTCAAATAAAAGCCCTTGGGTGAAAACTGGCCCCGCCCAGGGGTGTCATTGTTTTTAACTATATGTGTCTATTAAAAACTTAAAAAATCTTCTTTTAAAAAACCCAATGAGCTAGAGCTTAGATGTTTAGCATGAAACCTCTTCTAATGGGTGTCGACCAAGTTTGTCCGAAAAAAGCCCTTTGGTTAAAACTGGCCCTGCCGGGGGGGGGGTGGAGGGTAGTGAGAGGGGACGAGGAAGGTCATTGTTTTTCATTATATGTGTGTAGTAAAAAGTTAACATCATGAAACTTCTTCTAATGGGTGTCGTCCAAGTTTGTTCAAATAAATGCCCTGGGGTTTAAACTGGCCTAAATACAGGTGAGCGACCTCAGGACCATGATGGCCCTCTTGTTTGTTATTCTAATTTACAATGCACCTACGATACACACGTTGAATATTGTCTAGCTTTTAATGTCTTTTATATATTTCTCACAACATAGACGATTTACTTCAACAACTGATTGCACTAGGAAATATCACCATCAGTTTATATAATTTCTAAGTATACCACCCGACTGCTGGAGGAAGGACAGTCAACTGCTGTTTAAACGATTTTTGCATATCCTTTAACAAAACTATTTTTGCATTACATTTCACATCCACTACGTTATAAAATCTATTCGCAAGATGAAGACTTACCATATTAACATAAATTTTAAATATAAAAAACCCAAAAAATCTTGAAAAGATCAGATAAAGACATTACGAAAAAATAACTAGTTTAACGATAGAATTACAAGGAAATGAAAATAATTTGAAATCGCACTGCATCTTTTTGTAAGATCTTTCACAGATATTCGTTAATTTTAGAAGATTTTATAGAGGATATTTCTAGTGATTTTGAGATGGTTATGAGAACAAAATGACTGGTACATTGTTTTTGATGGAAAATATTTGCTAGTCTTATATTAATACACTTAATACCTAGAAAATAAATCAGTCAAAGAAAGACTTAACTGTCACGATTCCATTATGGATAACACAATATATGATATATTTTAGTATTAGTCTTGGCATTTCCGTCATTTCATAAAAACGGACAGAGTTATACATAAGTAATATAAGCTTAATGTGATTTATCGTCAACAAAATATCTTTGTGAAATAAAAGTCATTCTGAACAGTGTTAACAATTACAAAATACAAACTATGTATGAATACAATTTGTGTTAAAATAGTCGAACTGATGGCAGTAAAATCATATCTGATATGATTTTATTTAAACACATAGCTAAGTGTGTTATCTCAAATTTGACATGAAACATAAATCTGCAAAAGGACATGTAAAATCACACTTAAAGCATTTTTCCTAATATTAACAAAGTTGCTTTAAGTTATTGATAATATGTAAAGTTTATTTGACCATCTTCACTTAAGCCAAAGAAAAAATGTCAGGCAATCAATCTTTTTGCCATAAAAAGGTGTAATTGTACTTTTCGCTCTTAAATCTTTAGTATATCTTAGAATTCACACTGCCTTGACATATTTGAATAGGAAATATATTACACATTAACATGTTTAATAAACAGAAAGAAAAACACTGTTCTGTTGTAGATACATTAATAATAACTAAAATAATGAAGTACAAAAGAAATCTTTAGTTTTCACCATCTCAATGATGATATTCTACTTAGGTCTAGGAATAGGAATAGGAATCGAGAGAGGTTCACAACAGAGCTGAAATAAAACTAAAACCTATCGCTTAATTCAATATTAACATAATGTAAGGCATATGTAAGATATGTAAGATTATAGTCACTAAACCTTAACATATACTTTGCCTTATTTACAACAAGTTTATCGAGGCTTTGATATATGACACCAGGAAAAGGACTCGAAATGTTCATAATAGAGCTTAACAAATATGTTTAAACTGACACTTATCGTTTAATTTAATGTAAACAGATTGACAACATACTGAGTAAGATTAAAGTCACTAAAAGTTAACATATATTTTGCCTGATTTACAACAGTCCTATCAAGGTTAATCATTACAATACAAGATAGATAAACAACGCCAATATCACTTATTTATTTCGTGCTATAAATTTACTTACAACAAAAATAGTTGTATTTAAGTGCAATTTTGCGTGTAAGAATATGGTTTAGAGTTCAAATATACAACATATAATCACGAAATTCAGTAATGTATGTCTGATGACAGGCAAAATACATATACATCAATAATAGCTTTGTAACACGCAAACGCACCAAAAATGGACATTAATTGACTATTTATTTCATGGTTAAAGATAAAAAAACTGGTGATTCACATGTTATATGAAAATTATTCAGTGTTCATATGTTATGATCAATCCCCATTACACAGTTTTGCATTTTCAAACTAGTTTGGGCTTCGCTATTTAAGCATGATACAATTCAGACACAATACAGCTACCATATCTCCTGTCTATGTAAATAAATGATATTTGACTTTTAAACATCATATAAAAGATAGTATATAGCCATAACAGACTGAAGAAGAAATCAGATATAAGAATATCTCAGGTTATGTTAGAGCGTGTACTAACCTATACCGTCCATGAACAGGCTCAATGCAGCATTTTCATTTTTGCCGTTCCGAACATTCTACATAGATATTTTGTTCTCTTTTTCATAACGCGATTATATCGTTAACTAAGTATATGTGTAGCAATATTAACAATATACTTCACTTCGAAGTAAGATCATTTTGCAAGGGGAATTACGCTATTCCAAGTATATATCACAACTTTTTTTATCAAGTCAACAATAAAATGATAAAATGATTGGGTTACAAGTTTGAAAGTTATTGTATCATTATAAACAGTTTACATTTAATATATTTATCCTATGCTTGTGCCGTTGTGGTTGTGTTAAAAGAACAATTATAATTTTGGTATGTAAAAATTGTGTTTAAGCCAAAATGATATACGCAAATGTCTAAAAGTTGGGTTGTATTTTTGTCATTTTGTTCAAGCTAAACATAAATCATCAAATCATTTCAAGGGATCATGTTATAAACTGCCGGGATATACTATATTTGAAAATAAATGATAAAGTATGAACGATCTCAAACATAAATACCAGATTTCGTACGAATAATGATCGTCTAAAACGTTATTTGGGGGAATTTATTAGTCTATTTTGGGACTTAGTACTCGTAAAATAGACTTCAATTTTCTCTTTGCACACATGACTGTCTATTTTGCCAATTTTCAAAATGTTTATTCAATATCTCCTTTAAAACATTTTAGTAGTAAATGGTATTTGTAAGAGACACAGAACGCTTATAAGACATATTCATTCCTTCCCTATTCATTTGCCTTGATTTATGCTTGTTTTATCTGTAATGGAAATGTAGTTCAAGCATACATACGTATTACACTTATATCATAATGCCGTTTTTATTGTTTCCATTTATATGAATAAACTAGGCAAAACACAAAGCTATGTTTAGAGTCTTAACTCATAATATATCCTGGTATTCAGACGCTTTCTTTGTTTTATTTTATTAAATCATTTTACAAAAAAATGCCGATTTATTTATAGTGCATTGTCATGAATGTTCTTCATAAAATCCTTCCGATACAAAACTCTGAAAAACTGTTGTGCATTTGACGTGACATATATA